CATGCATGACTGAATTAGTCCTGTCCGTGAGAATTTTCGGATGCGCATAAACTGTGAAGTTCCTTGTATACGGGAGGCTTATATGACTCGCATTCACTTAATCGTACCCACGCTTTCATAGATTGAATATCTGGACAGTAGAAAGGCTTTTGGAACTGCTTTTCATAAGTTGAGGCAGCCAGTTAATCAAAGTGATTTGGCTGATTGGGAAAAAAGCATGTTCGATCGCTGCTGCACGAAATCATTGCCATGAGATAGAAAAGTGACGTGGGAACTAGGAAACAGTTTAGTGTATACAGTGACTAATTTCCGTCTGGCATATACGGTGTGCAATTTTCAATTTCTGACTATGTGACTGGTGGTGTGAATGTTTAATCTCATTCGAGTATACCCGATAGCTGACATTGATCTAAGTGACACTGTCATCTTTTTTGTCCCCGAAATACTGAATGTCAGCCTAGGTGTTAGTATCAGCCCCATTCCGAAGTGAACCAAATAAACCACACCTTAAACCTTAAAATCAAAAAATTTCTATTTTGATCCAATGTAAAAGGAGTTACCTTTTCTTTTTTTCTACGGTAGATTTCAGTTGACACTTTTTTCTCGGGTATGATCGTCTGCACCCATAATCACGTGGTCGACCGCGGTGGCAACAGGAGTTACTACACCACTGGCTTCATCTATTAAATCTTGTTTGCGCTGCTGCTACGAGTCATTATGAGTCACATAAATGTAATCCGACTATTTGCAGCTAATATACTTACACCAATCGTTGGCAACATCCCATATGTTTTCCAGTCTCTAACCGGAAGCGTCAGTAATGCAAAAAATAAAACATCAATCTTGGGCGGTCGCATAAAAAGACATAAAAATACTAATATTGTTGTCCTCATTGCTATTGATGTTCATGTTCCTCCTGGGACAACATCGTACCTCTTCGCACACTTTTTGTGACACTTGCTGGCGTGCTGCTTAAGTTGTCTCTACTTTCAAGGCAGTATTTGACAGCCTCCGCGATTGTCGCAGATGTCTGTTCGTGCTGCTCTGATGTGCCGGTCGTCCGCATTCGAGTCATTATTGGCCCCGATTTCAGCAGTAATATTGACGATGGATATGATAATTACTCATCACTGTCACTGGAAGCCCTTTTCGCCCGCACAGTGGCCATAAAACTGGGTACTCAGTCAGGCAGTGAAGTCGTTTTGAATGGGAGGGGAAAAATCTTTGCGCTGGTTGATAGATTGCAGATCAGAGAAAAGTGAGTAAGGCAGACTGTTACTCACACTGTCGTCACCTCCCTCTCATGGATTTAGGACCACCGAGCTTCGAGATGTAACCAAATCCCGACTTTAGAATTGGCGTCATTCCTG